ACACTGCAATGGTTCTTGCAGGAAATAAGATGAGGGAGAAGCGATTTTGAATATGGCACTTCATGCCCTATGCCTGTTTTATTCCAGGGTAATGCTTTCTACCTGGGGCAGGGTAGGAGGCTGGTTTTGATGGCAATACAAGTATAAATTAAGGGCATTTCTGTGCCATCTTTAGTGGAGCTGTAATTGTTTTCACTGGCAAGGAGAGAGCCCTTTGCGGGTGTCACCTGCATGGTGGCACCCACCAGAGGACAGGGTTTCTGTGCTCAATGTCTGCAGTGAAAAGGGTTTCCCACCCAAAGAGGAGATGGAGATTCACAGAGAGAGGAGGAGGTCAGGGAGAGGCTGCAATGGAGCCCATACCTGAACTGTGCTCCCTGACTTAAAGCCATCCTTGCTGTCAGTGGCATGGTACAGATACGTGACTACAGCCTAATGGGTTTGTCTAACTTACCTGACAAATGCCTCCGGGTCAGTAGGAACAAGCTGCTTCTTGGGTGAAGATAAAATTGGAGACAGTTGGACAATGCTGTAAAACAGTGATATTCCTAAAACCACTTATTACCTGCTTGGCGCCGAGGAGCCACCAACTGCTCCCAGGCATGCTGGGTGCTACTGGCTTGCTCAGCCCTGGTGAGATGAGGCTCCTGGTACAGATCTGCTGTTAGGCTGGGGAGGTGCCATGCAACCCCTCTTTGGGGTGCCTGGGGTGGGGGCCAAGAGCATGGTGTGGGGTGCCTGGTTTTTGATGTATCTCATGGCTTTGAGGTTTCTCCTTGCAGTTTCTGTAGGAACCTCAAGAGCTCAGCCATGTCTGCAAGCACCCAGTGCACAGCCACCCTTCCTGAGACTCAGCAGTTCCCTGGAAACTGCACACTGGAGATGGCCCTGAAAACCATTGTGGATGTCTACCACCGTTACAGCATCCGGGAGGGCCAGCTTGATCTCCTCAACTTCAATGACTTCAGGACACTGCTGACTGAGCAGGCACCGACCTTCCTACAAGCTTGCGTGAGTGCCTCAGGAGCTGTTTTGTGTTCCCTGGAGGGGTTGTGGCAGGGATGAGGCTGAGGTTGGATGTTCCTGTGGGAATAGGGTGCAGACCCCACCATGGCTGTGGTTCACAGAGTGGGTTTCTGTGATCAGACCCAGCTTGTTCATGTACTGTGGGGCCACCCGTGCTCATCCCTCCTGCCACTGCAGGGGTATGGAGCAGCCAAAGGAGCTTGGGACAAGAGCCTATCCACCTGGGGTTTTAACTAGGGGCTGACTGCAAGGTAGGAGAGGGTCACAATGATCCTGTGGCTTCCAAACATTTCCCAGGGCATGCAAGAATAAAACTGTCTCGGTATCCACCAGTGGGTGTGCAGCCCAGGGAGGAGCCATGCTAACACATGTCCTGTCCCCCAATTTCAGGGCAGGAACAAACATGAATACCTGAGGAAACTCTTTGAAGAGACAGACTTAAATAAGGACAGTGAGCTGACTTTTGAGGAGTTCACCATCGTCTTGGCCAAGCTGACCGATGATGCCCATCGCATCATCCACCGGGATGACCGCTGTATACCAGACAAGGATTGAGTCTCAGTGCACGACCCATGTAAAACTCAGAAGGGGTTGCTTGTAGGAATTGTGCTCTGGCTGCTTTCTGTCTGCTTGGATCAGTCATGCTTGTGAGACAATAAAGCATCACTTGAAGTTCACTGAGTCCTTCCTATCCCATCTTATGGATGGGGAGGGTGGGCACCAGCTGCAGCAAATGCATGGTCCTGCTGGAGCTGTGGGATAAAGGCTTGCCTAAATGAGGCACCCCAAAAACCCCAAAAGGAAGAGGCTTATGATCGAGATGTGGTGAGTGGGAGAGAGCTGTATTGCTCAGTGTCTGGTCCAAGCTGAGAGGGCTGGACTGATGGGCTTGGAAGGTATTAATGACCAGAAGACCAACGCAAGGCATTGCCATCAACTGCAATGTATTGCAGTTGTATTAGATGTTTTCCCTGTCAGAGGAATTTTTCTGCATAGACTGGGAAGAGCTGAGCCAGCTTAGCTTGGGGAAGCACTTCCTATTTTGCCCATCCTCATCCAGCTTCTTCACCTTGGCCATGCCAAGTGTGTTCTCTGGATGCAGAATCACCTGTGAGCAGGAAAAAATGCATTAATACCCATGACAACAGCAGTTCACAACAGAACACAGCCTTTACCACAAGAACAAGCCAGGGTGCTCTTAGTAACTTCCATGTGTATTTTTTTCCCTGTCTATATATATAGCTTCTAGCTTGTGGGAAATTCTGAGATTTAAAATTTTATCCCTAAATCCCAATGAAAACTCAAATTTCAGATATTTCCCATGCAGACAAGTCATCTGAAGTGCTCCCTCCCAGCCCTGCTGAATCACTTGCTACCCAGCCAAGGTGAAAAGCCCAGATGGTTTCCATCTCAGAGTTTTCCACCAGTAAAATATTCTCACCAAAACCCTGATGGGCTCCAGCAGGGCGCAAAGATCTTGTCCCTGGCTGAGCCATCTGGGAGATGTCTTTCAGCACCAACAAACTGTTTCTGGGTACTAAATAGACTGTAATGCAGCTCTTTACCAAACGCTCAGGTACCACCTCCCCATGAGGCTGAGCAGGTAGGTGCCCCAGCACAAGCAAGAGCAACATTTTGCATGTTGCAGCACAAGCAGGAAGGTCAAGTGCAATGGCCAGATCCAGCCCTGCAATCTGCCAGAGCTACACGAGGGCTTAGAAAGGGTCCAGCACCCTGCAGCAGTTGTGCTGTGCCTGGGCAGGCAGCAGAGCTGGGGCTCAGCTCCCTTTGGGCTGGACCAAGGTGGTGCCTGCCAAGCAGCTGAGTTTATAGCTGTTTGATATGGCTAAGACATATGTGAATGCTTTTTGGCTCAAGCTAAAGGACTGGGAAATCCTTACCCTTGTGGCTCCGGGATGGGAAAACCTCTAGGCTGCCCCAGCTCCCATGGTGGCTGCTCCTGCCAGGTGGCAGCTGGAGCATCGCTGGTCTGATGATGCTCAAAGGTGGTCAGGAGCTAGGGCTCAGAGTTTGTCCCCTGGCTCCCGCAAGCTAAAACCACATCTTGCAACCAGAACATATGTTCTGTCCTGATCTGGACTAAAACCTGCTGTGAAACACAGCAAACCGCATAGTGACAAACCCTGCCATGCCCTCTTCCCGCATCAGTCAGCCACTTGCCTGTAAACATGTATTTTGAAAGAGTTTTGCAACCATTGTCAAGCATGGGGTGCCCTGCCAGGGCTCAGGTCCTCAGGGCACAACCAACCTCAAACCAGACCTTTTGCTTGCCATGGCTATTGGGCTGCTTGCGTGCCACCTGATACCTGCTTCCCACTCCTTCGCCTCTGCAGCTCCAGCAAGCAGGGGCTTGCTCAATCGCAGTGGCCTTGGGGCCAGGATTGCAGCTTGCTGCAGCCACTTTGGCATGGCTTACAAGCACAGCTGGACAGGGAGGCTCCCTCTGCAAGGAGACCTGCAGAGCCAGGCTAAAAGTTGTACTAGCACATGTTCCTGTGACCCTAAGCAATACACAGGCTCCCTGGTCACTTTAGTGATTGCACTGGCATTTAAAAATGAAATACCTGGGGTCTCATCCCTGCTGCCTGGTGGGCACATCTGAGGGTCCTAGCCACATCCCTCTTTTTGAAATCCCTGGCCACAACCCACACCTTGTAACCCATCCTTGCTCTTCCCCACCTCCAGGATGATAAAATGACCAAAAGTATGGTTTCCTGAAATTGCTGCAAAATTCTGCAACTGAGCAGATGGTCCCTGACACCCTGTTGTGAAATGCTCCAGCCTTTCTCCAGCTGTTTTGTGCATCAAAGCACTCCTGTTGTGAAATGCAGTGCACCCCCACCAGTGAGGGCAGGAGTCCCAGTGGCCACTGTGTGTGGACTGGGGCTGCATCCCCGAGCAGCTGCCTGCACAGTGCTGCTCCATGTCAGCTCATCTGGAGGTCCTGGAGCTTGCCCCAGGCCTGTCCATGGCCATGTTTTGGCCTCCACTTTGTGTCTGAGATTAGTGTCATGTTTGGCAGGTTAAACAAACCCCCAAACAAGTCAGCTGAATCAGCAGGCAGAGCATTTTAATGAAGAAGCACTGGACAATCTTGTTTTGCTCCTCATCTTAGCTGCTCTGAGGCAAAGCACCTGTGCTGGCTCTCTGCAACACTGAGAAACAACAAAAAAAAGCAGCAACAAAGTGAGGATACAGTCCTAAAAATTAAAACCACACCTTTCAGCCACACCTGGTCTCCCCAGCTCAGAGCATACCTTGGGTGGGGAGAAACCACCCTTGGCATTGGCTGTTACTAACCTGAGGAGATGAAATGAAGTTCTGGGAGCCCTGCCAGGTTGGGAACCCACCCTGTATTATTTGTCTTCCATAAAAAGCTGCTTGCTGCAGGCAGGGGATGGTCCCCCAGCACTGCGGCACTGCCCTCAGCACCAGCTCTGTCCCTGTGTCATGAAGGCAACCCTGGCCACGCTGTCAGTGCTGGGCTGCGTGAAGCAATTACACAATGGGATGCCTTTGGGTGCACTGGGCCATGCAGTGCTTGTGTGCACCAGGTCTGCAAGGGTGGGGATGCTACAGGGCCAAGCAGTGTTGGCTCATTGGAGAAGGGCAGGCATGATGCTGTGGGTCCCCTTTGTCTTGCAGCATGAAGACATCTCTATAAATGAGAGTAAACCGGGTGAAACTGAAGCAGCAAAGGGAATGGACTTCCACTGAGAGCTGGAGAATTTCAGCCCCAATTGCCAGGTGGAGGGGGTGAAGGGGACCCAGCTGCAGGGACACAGCTATGCCCTGACCACCTCCTGCCACCCAGTCAGAGTACATGACACACCGACCTTACGGGAAAAGCCACAGACACCCCTTTTAAGGAACTACCCTGGAGCCTTAAGCAATGTACAAGTATGTAATGAAGATGGACTGGAATTGGGTGAAACAGACATTTCACAACAGGTGGAGGGGCACAGGCGGATGGTCAGGCTATAAGAGATGCCGTGCTTGGGACCAGCCCTGCTCCAGCCTGAGGGGATCTCACTACTTTGTCAAGATGAGCAAGGCAAGTCTAATGTGATATGGGCATTTAAGGTCTTCATGTTCTTTTCCAGGTGCTGGCTGGGCCATTGGAGGTGCAAGAACCCTTAGGGAGCCTCTCCTCACCATGTGAGCTGCCATCAGCTGCTGGCAGAGGATAACCATCTCCACTCGGGCTCACCTGAGCACAACCCACAAGGAGAGATGTCTCCTCCTGGAAGAGGTTCCTCACAGCACAGTCCAACCACTGAAGGGGCTTCTGGACATCAGATCTCATACTCTGTATCTCTACAGAGGTTTTTGCAGTGCCACCAGCTATTTTGGGAGCCTTGCTCCAACAGTGCCTGACTTACAGAAGGCACATTTGGAGGGGAAGGAAATCAACTCTCAGTTATTATCTGTAGTTGCACATCCCAGAGCAGAAGCAGGCAAAGTCTGCAATACCCTTCAGTCTCCTTTGGCTTGTAGATAAGAGAAAACTCAAAACAAACAGCTCAAATATATCCCCAAAAAGAATGACCGAACGAAACCAGACTGCATCCTCATCTGGTGTGAAGCAGGTGGCTGTAGCAGAGCCTCACTGGTTTACATCAGACTTGCTCATCTATTGTGGCTCCTGACATTATACAGTGTAATGGTTTCTCTTCAGACCTCCCAGATCCAGGAACCGCTCTCTGAGCTGGAGAAGGCCATGGATGTCATCATTGATGTCTTCCACCAGTACTCAAGGCGGGAAGGGGACAGAGACACCCTGACCAAGAAGGAGCTGAAGCTCCTGATTGAGAAGCAGCTTGTGAACTATCTCAAGGTGAGTGGAGTCAAAGCAGGGTTTCTTGTGGCCCACATGGGGAGGTAGCTGGGCTGGACCCCATTGCCTGAATATATCTGGGACCTGGATTCACCCCCTTCCTACTCTGCTCTCCTGCCCCAACACCTGCCCAGACTCTCCCTGTCTGACTGCCACTTTCCAAACATGCTCTGTAGACAGATGAAGGAAACCCATACAGGTCTGAGTGAACCTGCAGCCAGCTATTTAACCTCATCACCTTACCTAAAAAAATCAGGGTCATATTGCCTGAGAGTTCCTTTGCCATCTAGGAGCAATGATGTCAGAAATATCAGCCAAAAAGTAAAATTTTTTTTTTTTTTTGTAACTCACATTGCTAAAGCAGAAAGTAAAGCATTTTTAATCCAACACACTAAAGGAGAGGTTTGTGGCTGACCTAACACTGCTGCCTTCATCGGTCTCCACACTGCATGGTGTCCTTGCAGTGATGCTAGCTTGTTGCCCTCTGATTGCTTTATTGCTGCAGGTGAATCATTGCTGTACCCAAAGCAATTGGTGATGATGACACAGGGATGAAATCACTCATAGCACCTGGCCATTGGGGACCTGGCACACATGAGGGTCCCAGTGAGGCCGGGGAGAGGCTTGAGCCGTGGATGACAGGACTTTGCCCTCACCCTGTCCCTTCCTTTGCAGCATGTGAAAAACAAGGCCACCATTGATGAAATCATGAAGGACCTTGACATCAACAAGGATGCACAGATCAGCTTCTGCGAGGTGATGTTGCTGATTGTCCGTGTTACCATTGCCACTCACGAACACCTCCATGATGTTGAGGACCAGCAGCAGCAACACAAACACCAGCACCAACACCACCACTGAGGTGGGCTGTGGTCCCAGGCCAAAGGCACCCATGCAGTGCTTGCAGCCCCTGGCTTTCTCCTCTCCATCCCTCTCCACCCACCTCCCTCTTTTCCTTCCTTCAAGTTTGATGGTTTTGCTGCCAAATAAAGATTTGCCCTGAGGCTGTCAAAACTCTTTTGTGTGTCTTCACGGGTTTTCCTCAAGGCAAGTCCTGCCCCTTGCTCTCTCTCCCAGCATGACTTTAAACCAGGCAAATCCACCTTGGAGACAAGCTGCAGGTTCTCAGGGGCAAGGTGAATGCCTGGGGAGAGCAGGGTTCACTGCAGTGGGTGCTCACAATACTCATATTGTAATGTGCTCCATAGGTGAGGGAAGGCAGTATAATTTGACATGCCTTTGCATTTCCAACTAGAAAAACCCCCAACATTTTGGCCTGAAAACACTCTGCACGTCTCCTAGGACTGACCTGTGGTGGTAGGCAATAGCTGGAAGAAAGGATGGGGATGGATGAGCACTCTTTTCTGGATGAGCATGCTTTTTAGGCACTTCTGCTCTGCAGAGCCCTGACATGGGGCTGGAAGGGGGCTGGGGGTGGATGCATTTAGTTTTAATGCTACAGCCAGCAGTGAGGTCTGGCCACTGGGTTTCGTGTGGAGAAGACCTGAGAACAATCCCAACTCCTCACTCAGAGCATCCCATGTTTGCACTGAGGAGGTGTCGGTTATTAATAGCTGCTTTCCAGAGTGGGTGGCTGGAAATGCCTATGATGCTGCTGAGCAGCCTCCTTTCATGCATACTTAGAACCTGGCTACTGATTTGCAAATGCCTTTTAGAGGGGGGAAAAAAGGAACAGTTGTGATTTCCTAAGGGTGAGTCAAAGCCCTGAAATCCCCCTGCTCTGTGAAGGAACCTGCCACAAGTTTCCCCAATCCAGCGCACTGAAGCAAGCCCTCTGGTTAACACAAGACTGCCACAAGTTTGCTTCACCACTGCTGGCTCGGTTGCTTCAGCTTCCTTTGGAGTCAATTTTGACATCTGAAGTGTCAAACACCTTCTTACAAGGTAAAATCCGCTGCAGGGACCAGAGTCCACTCAGCTCTGCCCAAGCCTGCACAGGGTGGCAGGTCCCTTCTGGAGCCCGATCCTGCACCCAGCACTCAATCCTGCACCCCAAAATGGGTCATGCACCCCATCCTACAGCAGTTTAGGGTCTCTCGAGCAGGTAAGAGGCCCATACCCAAGGGATAGAGTGGAGCTGGTTCATTGCCATCATCCTGCTGGGGCAGTAGCAGATTACCTCCAAGAACCAAGCTGTCCCCAGGGCTGGCCCATAAGGACATGCCCAGCTTTCAGGACAAGGGTGGTTCAGGTCCCATTTGCAGCAGATCAGCTCTTCAGGAGCTCAGCACTCTGCTGGTCAATGGTCAGCCCTTCTGTTCTTTGCAGCAGAGGGGTCTCCCTGTGCAGGGGCCAAGCACACAAATCTTGGTGCTGGGGGCACCCACAAACCACCCTGGGACCTTCCCCCAGGATCCAGGCAGCAACCAGCTTTGAAGCTCACGGTGCTGATGCAACAGGATATTTGCCAACACAGCGGGACTTTACGCTCCCCCGAAACCCAGGGTGCAGGACTCCTTTTGTGTCACCTGCTGGGGCTGTTGGACCATCGCACCGGAGGTGGCAAAGAGTGAGCCACCACACACCCTGAGCACAGCAGGACCCAGATACCAACACAGGGCTACAAGCAAGAAAAAGCTATCAGTGGGTCCTCCCGTAACAGCAGAGTGGTCTCCAAATCTATACACATCCTTTCATCCCAACAGAGCTCACAGCTCCCTGAACAGAGGGGTCACAAAAGCATCACAAGTAAGAAGGTGTTGGTGTCCTGGTTTCAGCTGGGATAGAGTTAACTGTCTTCCTAGTAGCTGGTACAGTGCTATGTTTTGAGTTCAGTATGTGAAGAATGTTGATAACACTGATGTTTTCAGTTGTTGCTAAGTAGTGTTTAGACTAAAGTCAAGGATTTTTCAGCTTCTCATGCCCAGACAGTGAGAAAGCTGGAGGGGCACAAGAAGCTGGCACAAGACATAGCCAGGGCACCTGACCCAAACTGGCCAACGGTGTATTCCATACCATGGGACGTCCCATCTAGTATAGGAACGGGGAAGTGGGGGCAGGGAATCGCCGCTCGGGGACTAGCTGGGTGTTGGTTGGTGGGTGGTGAGCAATTGCACTGCGCATAATTTGTACATTCCAATCCTTTCATTATTGCTGTTGTCATTTTATTAGTGTTATCATTATTAGTTTCTTCTTTTCTGTTCTATTAAACCATTCTTATCTCAACCCACGAGTTTTACTTCTTTTTCCCGATTTTCTCCCCCATCCCACTGGATGGGGGGGAGTGAGTGAGCGGCTGCGTGGTGCTTAGTTGCTGGCTGGGGTTAAACCACAACAGTTGGATACACCCCAACTGCGCTGTATCCTGTGCTGCAGAAGAATTGCTCGCTCAGTCTGATGGGCAAGGTGCTCTGCTGCCCACAGCCATGCTGCCTGTTTGGGGATGGCACCTGGGTTCCTCCAGCCTTGCTGCCCCAGGAGCACTTCACCAGCAGCACGAAGCAGGGGCGAGGGGAGGGGGTCAGCTCCCAGCCCCACCTGCCTTCACCCCCAGGTTATAAGGCAGGATTCGACCTCTGCAAGCTGAGGACCAGGCTCCTGCTGCCACCTGGTGGCATGTGCCACCGAGGCTGTTGGGGTGGCCACCACCCCCAGAGCAACATGGGGAGCCCATGGTCCTGCCCAGCTCCCCAGGATTGCACCTCAGGGACACAGCGGCTGAGCCCATCAATCGCAGGCAGAGCCCCATCCTGTGACTCCCCTGTTCATCACATCCCATACTTCGACCCCACCAGTGCTCTTTACAATAAGTAGGATTATACTGATTTATGTGTCAGAAACAAAAACATGCACTGATTTGCAAACACCCAAAATTCCTCTCTCGCACGCCCCTGCTGAAGCCACCACACAGTTTTGCTGGTAAGGGCTCCTTTCTTTCTCAACACTACCACATCAATTCTTCTTACCTGTGTCCTATGGGGAGAAGGAGAAGGGAGAAGCACTGTGGTTCCTCCAGTGTACAGCTCAAAGCATCAGGCAAGTGGTGGATGCAGATAAATACTAAATCCTCCTCCTTTCCCTGTTTGGGGGGGCTTGTACCCCACATCCCTCTCCCTGAGCTTTGCCCAAGTGGGGTGCAATGCCATCAGCTCGCATTTGTACCCTGCCAGGGGTCCCAGCCTAGCCCCTGCCTAAGGACTATGTCTTCCCCAACTGCCATCCTGTCCTGTCCCACCAAAATAGGTTTGGGGTGGCCCTGCCAGCTCCTCACACTGCTGACCCCCTCCCAAAGCTCCCAGACTGGAGAAAAAGGGCTAAAGTCTCCAGGGCTGGGCTTTATGAACAGCTCTGCAATGAGGGGATGTAATCCAACTGGGGCTGAGCTGTGACTCCCAGCTGCGACCTAGCCCAGCCCCAGCATCCCCATCCTGCCTGGTCCCCCTGCCCACCACGGACCCCCTCCACCCACTGTTGACCTCCTCCACCTGCTGCAGACCCCCTTCACACCCCACAGCCCCCTCCAAGCGGAGTCAGTGGCCCAGTGGCTGACACAGGAAGGGTTGTGCAATGCCCAGTGCTGTGGCAACTGGGGACTTTGATGCACTGTGCGCGTTGCGTTTGTTATCAGTCTAGACAGGCCAATAGGGATGAGCCACCATGAGGTAAAACTGGTCGGTCCTGGGGTGTCGGTGAGGCATGTGGCCAGGAGCTGACCCGTCGTCATGGGCAAACCCATGCCTGGAGCCCAGCAAAGCCAGCCTGACGCTGCTGTGGATGAGGATGTGCTGCCACAGGATGGCACCGTAGTAGCAGCAGGCTCGGAGGGAGTAGCTGGCAGAAGGGACTGGCTCAGAGTGATTCAGAGCAATTTTCCTCCTAATTCCCCTCATTCCCCGGGGGGAACATGTGCTAATCGGAACGGCAGTGGTGGAGGGAGGAGTACAGTGGTTGTAGGTGCCATTGCCATGTGTTGCCCTCCCATCCTCCTCCACAAGTGCTTCCTGCCTGGTGCAGTGGCTTCCGCACGGCCATGCCTGGCCACCCCGCAGCATCCCCGGTCCTGGGGTCCTTCCCACATGCACCATCCCCGTGGCAGAGAGATGCTCATCCAAGATAGTTCATACAGAGGTGGGGATCCGCCAACATAAAGCCTTAAACCCTGAGCACTTGGCCATCGGCATGACTCCAGCCCATGAGAAAACACTCCTTTGGCTGCGTCTTCATCAAGGGCATGGCTGGGAGCAGCAGGCGCTCCAGCTCGCGGGAGAAATGTTGTGGGGATGTTGGTTTCTCTGTGGAGTTTGTGCTAAGCAACCTGGCAAGGCTGCGCCCCAAAAAGTTGCAGAGTAAATTGTGCTGCTGTCTGTGCCCAGTTGCCTGGCCATCCCCAATATAGTCTTGAAGCAAGTCCCCCAGGGCTGGGGCTCTCCCAAAAGCTCCAGCTCCAGGGGACCATAAGCTGTGACAGCAGCCCCTGGGCTGATCTGGCTTCCACCAAAAGCATCCGTGTGCTGGGCAGCCCTTGCTGCAGAGGGCCTGCAGTGACTTGCTGCCTCTTGCCTCACTGTGCCAGGGTAAAATTTAGCTCTAGACCATGGTCTGCATCTCATTTACAACCCACTTAATTGCAGAGATGTCTTGTGCTGTGCTGGCGGTGTCAGCAGTGGTACGTGGGTGGCACACGTTGGCTCCAGCAACCCCTCCTCTCCCAAACACGCTGCTATGAACCCGGCCCTGCAAATGCCGCCTGGGAAGGCTGATGTAGAGTGTGATCTCATCTGGCTTCGTACCGTATCTGGCAATCTTGGGACAGTGCCTGAGCCCTTAATGAAAGCTGGCACACCCTTCATAGCAGGCAGGGCTTTTTACACCCCCTTTCCAGGTAAGCAAACCTGGGGTCATTGACTTCTCTGAGACCACACAGAGAACAGGCCAAGAGCCAGGCATCCTGCCCTGGCTGCCTCGCTGCAGCATCCCCACAGCCCCTGTGCTTTGTTCTTCCCCTGGAACCCCTGGGGCAGCCTGGCCTCATGCACAGCTTGATGTGCTCCATTGGG